TTTGAGTTATGACTACTGTTGAATAGAGAAAATAAGCTCTATAAAATGCAAGAACCACATTCAATATAATTTTTATTTAGCCACTATAGAGATGTGTCAGTATTGAATTATTTAAATGTTAGTTAATTTTCAATGCAAGAGAGCCATATTCACTTTATGGCAGTATACTTATTTTAATTTATCCAAATTATCACTGAAGTCAAATTCAAGACTGCCTTATTTCGACTTGCGGCGTTTGCACTGAATAAAAACTAATTATCGTGTGATATGTTGAATGCAAAACAGCAATATTTAGAGTTGTGGCAGTATTGCATTTATAATTTGTCATAGTGCAGCCACAACACAAAATATGACTGTATTGTATTTATTAGATAGAATAGTTGTTTTGCGCCAAATTGTCATATCGATTAACAATGGTTATCATTATCAATCAATTTAATAAATTATGTTAATATCATTATCAATTGGCTTATAATTATTATTATCATATGTTTTTAAGTAGTAAGTACCATACATGAATACGTTTTATTATTTCAAGTTCTAAAATTTAAATCATTATTATTTGTATTAATATTTGTATTACCTAAAGTATTAAAATGTCAAGATTCACTAGAAGCGCCAAAATGTTAAATCTAGTACTAGTAAATAAATTACAGAATAATATTATGTCGTTTAAGAAAGTCTTACCCAGGATATTAATTATGAAAATACTATAGAAACAGGTAGTGATATTATATTCAGCTAATCCTTAAACGTTTTAATAAAGTAATCAAATATCTTATACCTATTACCTTATATTATCTTATATTTTTAAATACTTTTAATTCAAGTATTTGAAGCAGTAGGTATTCTAAATAGTAATACTGTTGTTTCTACATATTAAGTTTTGTGTATTGTAATGTTGTTTAAGTTTAATATAAAATAATTGTTTGATTACATTTAAATAGTTTTAAGTAGCATCAATTTATAAATAGGTATACAGTTCATATAGTATAATATCTATCATTAGCCATTAGGTATATTTAGCAATACGTAACCGAACCAGAAGTTGCCAACAATACTATAAATTTTGAGTTGTGGCAGTCTTGTTCTAGGAGTGCGATATATCGTATAAGTTTGGCATCGAATTAACGGAGTTTAACGCATGAATAGTAGTACAATAATACATTTTCACGTATGGTTGAAATTATAATAAAAGTAAATTTTACACATTGGAGTAGGTACATTTATAAATAATTCATATAGTATATTTATTTTTTAAATTCAATGTGTTGAATGTAACGTCAATGTTATGAATCTATTTAGTTTTTCTCAAACGTACAAATATAAAGTAAGTACATGAATACATAATATTATATAATATTCAACTCTATTATGTAAATTTTGTTTTGTTATATTTAGATTAGCAATCAAAATATTAATGAGAATAGAATAGGTAGGTACATGGATAAAATTATATATTATTATTATATTTTCGATTGAATATATTTAAAAAAAACTAAGAATACAATATGACGTTAACATAATTGACGCCAGACACAAAAAAACACACATCATTGTAAAACTATAATAGATTTATTCATCGCTTCGTTTAAAATTTAAAATATTATGACATTAATTTCTGGGAGGTAATTTACATCAGCTTATTATTTTTTTGCTTTGTTTATTGAAGTAGGTACTAGTAAAATTATTGTATTAAAAATGAAATCATAAACATACATTATTCAATATTTCAAAGCTAAAAAGTGTTTGGTGTATAAATATTAAATACTGTATACTAGACAGTTGTCGAAATACCAAAAGGTCAACAATGGATTAAATAAATTCTTGTGTTTGTATAGAATTATCTAATATGCACATTACGTATGTTCCAGTACAGCCGGAAATGGTAAAATAAGTAAAATTAAGCTGCCTAATAAGTAGTATTGAGAATAGATAAATAAAAAAATAATCTAGATACAAATAAATATAACATCAATGGATTTTATTCAGATGAAGATAAAAATTATAATACATTTACTTTAGATAAACATCCTTTTTTTACACTTATTTGTATTTTTTTTTTTTTTTTATATAAGTTTATAATGACGTAGTAAGAACATACGATTTATGATAACCAGGTCTCAAAAGATTTAGCAAATATATATTTTTTGAAGTCATAAAACATCGAAAGTAAAATATACAAATTGATTTACACTATCCTGATGTCGTAGAAAAAATTTTATTTTACAAATTTAGAATTTTAAGTGCTATTATAGGTATATTTTTATATGATTAACTTTTATTTTAAAAGCAACAAATATATAAAGTTAAAATTTAAACGACTTTTATCAAAAAACCACGTAAATTAGAAAATTATTTTTCAGTTAAAAGTTTATAAAATTTTTAATATTCATATCTGAGATATGAAAATTTAATATAAAATTACAGAACTTATAAGAAAATAAAAGTTTTTCAACTTACATCAATATTCTATCAGAAAGTAAAATTAACTTTGTAAGAACGTTTGAAAATCAAATTATTACGACAATGCATACTCACCCGTAAAAGATCTATTTTTCCTAAAACGATTTTTGTTATTTTGTTGAAATTCAGAAATTAATAACCGTAAATAGTAGATACTTGAAATGTTCACCAAAAGTTAATATTATCATCACCCATACATCGAATAATTTAATCTTAGTTATTATTAGATATTTTCAATGCTTTTATATTTTACATATTTTTCGGTCAAAATTTAGAACGTAGAATGATAATTCCGGCTATTTACTCGGGGATTTGAAAAATGGACTATGGTAATGGTATCTGTATCTTAATGGTAAGTTCATTAATATCTAAATGACAACTTAATTTATTTTATTTTTATGTTAGCAATAAATTTGTTTGAGTAAGTAATAATTACACGTATATATACTAAATAATATATTATAGTAACGGTAAATGGCGCCACTTGTATCATTTTATTGAAAAAAATATTTATTATTTACGGTGTAAATGTTTAATACATTTTTAAGAAATTATTATCTAAATTGATGCATACACAATATTAATTCTGTTAGACAACGTCATCGTTTTGTTCTAACAATCCCATTAGATTAAACGAATACAAATAATACATGTATATTAATTTTTTTAAACACGGGTACACACAAGTTTAGTACGGACGGTATCCCGGTCATTGTTATAAAAATGATTAATACGCATGACATTACACAACGTATAAGGTATTATAATAATTATACACATTTACATATCTAAGTGTTGAATTAAACAAAATATTATTTTAGAAATGTATTGTTTACATATTATATTGATATTTATTACGGGCTATAGATAGTATACATTTATGCATGAGCACATTGAACGACTTAAACAACATATCATTATAATACCCATAACAGAATAAATAATTTTAATTACCTTTTTTTTTTTTTCCTTATGATATCGAAGACTGGAGGAGGAACCATGGTACCAGTACTTCTCCTCCAGCCGCCATCGTTTATTGTCAAAACAAAAACATACAATAATTAGCAACGGTGGGCCGTCCCCCACTTGCTGCTATTACACGCAAGTGATGTAAATTATCAAAAAAAATACCAATACAATTAATACATAGTCGCTCCGTTCTCCCCGATTGCCTAGCTATGGTGGATTCCGTTCGTTCACAGCCTGTCGCGCTCTTTCCTCTTCTTCCTTAGCTGAAAGGATATTCTCCACCATGCCGTAAAACAGCTTAAATCGTTCTTCGGCTTCACTCAGGATGGCGTCCCTCCCGTGAGCGTCCACCGGCAGAAGCTCGAACGCCGGTCCGCAGATAATGTCCGGGACGTCGTCGGTGCTCGGTCGATGGCCAATCCTGGCGCTCAAGGGTTCGCGAAAGCCGTCCCAGTGGGGGCAATCGAACAAAGTGTGTTCGGCGGTGTCTGATTCACCCGAGCACTGCCAGCAGCGCGGGCTGGCGGCCCTATTCATGCGATGGAGGTACCATCCGAAGCAGCCGTGGCCCGTGAGTGCCTGTGTCATATGAAATGTCAGAGACACCCATGGGACGGTCCTTTCCAGCCATCTTGGTAAGTCAGGGATGACGCGGCGCGTCCAGGCCGCCTTTGGGGTAGCACGCCATCTCGCCTTCCAAGCGACGATCGTATTTTTCCTTGCCTCGTGTTTCACGACTGCTTTGGGAGGCCGTTGTTCGCCGGGTTCCATCACGGCACGCAGACGGGATCCGATGCTCTGCCTTTCCAGCCCAAGCAGGTCAACGGGCGGCATGCAGGCCAAAACCAGGGCGGCCTCGTCCGATACGGTACGGTATGATCTGATTACCCTTGAGGCGGCGGTCCTCTGCGGACGGATCAAGATCGCCCTAGTTCTGGCGACTTCTGCAACAACAGGGATCCAGACGGGAGCAGCGTACAGCAACTGACTCTCCACGACAGATGAGAGCAGCCTCCTCTTCCACTGAGCTGATCCACCAATGTTGGGCATGAGCCTGGATATCGCAGTAGCCGAGCGGGCCGCCTTCGCAGCGACGGTACTCGCGTGTGGAGATAATTTTAATTACCTATATAAATATAAATGTGGCCATAGTATTTCTTATAGTTCTAATTTAAGATTTTAAAATATAATTGTTTGGCTTCTAATTTCGGTTTTTGTTTATACAACTACAGGAAAAAAAGTTGCTGGTTCATATTATTATTGTAAATTATATATTTGATGTAAGTTTGATAATTAGATAGTTAATGAAGTAACACAAAACAAAATATCATAGAACTTACTGCATACTACGATTGTCGGTTTGTACCAATATTTGTGCTATTGATACAAATTAATAATAAATAAAAATAGAATTTATAAGCTCAAATAAATATAATATACGGGCAATCTGATCGCTTATCAGTACTGGCTCGATGTCGGTTTTACAGTAAATAAAGGTCAAAGCATCAGAGTTCCCGAGTTTTTTGAAATTCTCAAATTCTAATAACAGTTTTTTTAAACATGGTTCTAACCTAGTGTTTTTATATCGAGTAATTATTTTAATGAAGAACATTCATTGTTTCAAAAACTATTAGAAACTATTAGACCTGTTGTCATACTAATAATTTTTCACAGAGCATTTAAACAAAATTATAATGTTGTAACGTAAAAACATATAACGTTTATGGAAATATTTTTTGAAAAAAAATTATGGTTTTACAACAATTTTTTGTCATTTTTGTTTTCGAAGTTTTTAGTTTTATTAAACAGCGTGCATTTTTAATTTTTTAGAGTACTTCCATATTATATTAACGTACAAAATTTTAACAGTAATAAATAGAAAAAATATAATGTTTTACGAAAATGTTATTTTGTACCGACTTAAAGTTTTGTAAAAAAAAAAATCCCAACAACATTTATAGCGAAAGAAATTACCAAACTGGTACCTTTAGGTATACTTTTATTTTCGTATCTGTTAACGGCACAGGTGTTGAATATTATAGAGTTTTTGAAACGTTGTGTTTCCAGAGGGTGGTTAAGTTTTATTAGTATTAAAAAAAAAAAACAGGATGATTGATCTTATACTCTTATACGACATATTAATGCGTCGGCGGGGAGGACACGTAATAAAATTTTCATCAAGCATAGCGTGGAGGGAAGGACAAGACAACGTTAATATTGTATCAACACGTAATCCTATTAATAATTGTCTGTTGAATAAACTATTATAAGCTATAAAAGCGTACGCTTTTCAATAATTATCATAATAATGAAAAACTGTTTGCTAAGCAATTTGCTTTTCAGTATCCCATCAAAATACGTCAACTATATAACATTTCAGCGCACAGGCCCGAATCGACGTTCGACTTAATAACACGAAAACAAAAAATAAATAAGGGTGCAAATAATTGCTCTATACAGGCCTATATGCATTGTATACATATTTATATAAAATATGTTTTATACTGTCGATAATATTATTATTTTCTGGACACGTTTCCAACGAGCCGACGGGATTTTCGCCAATTGGTATTGATAAGTTTACTATCACTTTATTTTTTTTAATATACGCGAAACGCAAAATTTGATAATAATGTGTGAATACGACGAGAGAAAGGCGGCAGGAGCGGCCAAAATTCATTTTCCACTAAAGTAGTTTTGACGAGTTTTAGGTGGGTCGAACGCCGCTTTGTATAATATTCGATGCACACCGCGCGCTCCGCAGCTAACAACCTTAACATCGCCTCACTGCCGGCCACACACATACACAACATCTGCTATACAAAATATAATATTATAACAGTCATTTTAATAAAATATTAATTTTTCGTCGAGCACGTTTTGTCAATTTAATAACTATCACTTTGACCGAGAGGCAAGAATAATAATTATACGTCGCCCCTTCCATAATCCGAAACATTATTATGTAACAGGTATATTAGACTAAACACATGTCTATATTATGTGTATATTATATAGTGGTGCAGTATCATTGTCTAGTATATTTTATAACTATACGACTACTTATAAACAGCATTTTCGGGAGTCATAGGCGTACAGATTGAGTACAATGATACAAAGCTTTTTGTCAGTTTTTCTTGAATAACTTTTTTTAATTTATTGAAACTTTTTTTATGGAATTCATATCTGACAAACTTTTTACTACTTTTTACATTTGGCATGTCTATATATAATATACACTACAACGAAAAGTGATTTTTAAAAATAATTATTAATTTAATATATATCTGAATTCAATCATTGTGAATTTGTCACTAACCAACAAGCTACAACTAAAATATTCATCCATTAAAGTTTTATTTTAACACATAAAAACAAGAAATTGGGAATTTTTCATGTGCTATAAATTGCATGTATACATTTATAAACGAATTTAAGTTATATGATTTTCAACATACCATAAATTATTTATTTTATGATCGGAATGTTGGAGTTCTATAATATCATAACACATCAATAATTTAAGATGTACTAAGACATTTCAATAACTTTTCAAAAAACTGGAACCATGAACAGGCATGTATCAGGGACCTCATATTGGAGGAGGAATATTAATTTTTTTATGAATAGTTTAAATCCTCCATAATACATTTTTATTCGGGCATGGACCAATTGCGCCTAAAACAAAATTTTTATACTTGGGTCAATATACCAATTGCGCTGCATATATTTTACGGTTAGTGTACCAATTGCGCTCTTTATATTTTACGGTCAATATACCAATTGCGCTTGAATTTAAATTATATTATTCTAAATTGCCATGCTCAAATTATTATTTGAAAAATTATTATTATTGTTAAAACATGCAAAATACAAATATTATGATTACCATAAACTCAAAATCCTATTACTTTATGTCTTATGTTTTAATATATTTTTTAACAGTGTATTATTATATATATTAATGTAGGGAATTTTATGAAACGTTATTATTATTACGCACATATTTTGATTACGGAAGTACGCATTTGAGTGATGGACGAAAACAAGTTTTCATTATCATCGGATATATTTTATCAGCCTAATTGTTTCGTTGCACACAATATACTGTAGATAGAAGAACACATTGGTGATACCCATTATAAATATAAATCATATTGATAGGTACCCAATACTTATGTCTTGTTAATCGTTTAGTATAAGTTTTAGTTGTTTGACGTTACAATATGGATCGTTTTACAAAAGCTTTTAGTGAAAAAGGTAAACCGTTATTAGTTCTTGACGAGTTTAAGTTCCGAAAATGTACTATTTCCAAAAATGGAATAAAATGGAGATGTACAATTAAATCGTGTACTTCGAATTTTTTATGTGATGTGAGTGAAACGGTGCTTTTAAAATCGAATTTTGATCATAACCACGAAGTAAGTTCAAATATTAATAGACAAATTGTTGCTAATTCATTAAAAAGAAAAGCAACAGACCAAGTTACAACACGACCACTAAAACTAATTCGGAATGAAGTGCAATCAAGTGCGTTAGATTTAACATTAAACGATGTGCATTCTATACGACGAAGCGTTTATCGTACTCATAGAAAAACGCTACCACCTTTATCGAAAAATGTAACCGAAGTGCATACAGCTTTAAATAATTTGGATACAAATACATACAAGAGTGAGAATTTATTGCTTATAAACGACAATATGTTGAATATAATATGTTTTTCTACCAAATCAAACTTAGAATTTTTATGTACTTGTGACAAAATATTTGTTGATGGAACATTCGAATTTTGTTCTAAATATTTTTACCAACTTTTTACAATACATGGTTTGAAAAATGGGCACTATATTCCACTTATATTTTCTTTACTGCCAAATAAATTACCAAGTACATATGAATATTTATTTCGAGTTTTAATTAGTAAATGTGCAACATTCAATATTGATTTAAATCCAAAAACAGTCGTTGCCGATTTCGAACAAGGTATACATTTTGCAGTAAAACAAGTCTGGCCTTCAATACTTTTAGTAGGGTGTCGATTTCATTTATCACAAGCTTGGTGGAGGAATATTCAAAGTTGTGGACTGCAAACAGAGTATAAAAATCCTAATTCTGAAGTAGGAAAATGGCTTCATTTAGTTTTTGGTTTATCACTTTTTTCACACGAAGAAGTGGAGGATGTGTTTGTAGAAGAACTAATGACGATTCAACCAATTAATTCAAATCTAACTAAATTTACTAATTATCTCGTTGAAAACTATATATCATCTAATTCTACATTTCCTCCAAAACTGTGGGCGTCCAATTCAATAAGCTGTGAACGTACAACTAATGCATGTGAAGCTTTTCACGCTTCATTTTCTACAAATTTTTATTCTCCCCATCCAAATATTTTTGTCTTTTTAAAAGTTATTATTGAAACGCAGACTAGCACGTACATTGCAATAAATAGTATAGAACAGGAAAAATATATTTCTAATAGAGCATATTTAAAAAAAAAAATAACAATTAATTCTTATATCGATAAATACAAATCTGGCGAAATTTGTAGAAACGAATTTTTAAAAATTGTGTGTTATCATTATTGTAAAAACGTTTAAATGTGAATTATAATATTATTATGTACCTATTAATTTAATTTTGAATAATTGACAATCAAACTTGTGACCAGTTAGTGTACCCACCTATTAATTTATTTGTGTTATATATATATTTTTTTAAATCATAATGTTATTATTATACCTCGTTGTGACCAAATTCATTATTTTAACGTAATTACAAACTTGTGACCGATTATAGTGTACCTATTAATTTATTTGTATTATACTTTTTTAAAATCATAATGTTATTAATTATTATTATACCTCGTGGTGAAACATTTATAAAGCATGCAAAATACAAACATCATGATTACCTTAAACTATTATTATTATTATATATTTATGATTTAACCACCTATTCTCTTATTATTATTAATGTTATATTATTTTAGTTTTCATTAACTTAACTGTATAAAGCCTATACGTTTCACCGACTTGGAAGACTTT